TCCACCCCCCTCCCTATTTTTATTGACATATGCATTCCAATCTATCTCTTCAGTTCTGTTATGTGAATCATTTTTGATTTCTTGATTTCGCCATTGGCTTCTTTTAAGACACCCTACTGTGCTCAGGGTTTGAATAAGTAATTGGGACTATAATAAAAGCAAAAGAGTCGATTTAAATATAAAACTTTGGGCTTTTAATTTAAGGCTTTAAAAATGAATTCAGCAAATGTATGTAAACGCCTCTCCTTTGGAACGTACTATACCATATTAGTCTCACATTGTTATATTGGAAAACATAATAGCGTCTTCATATTATACTATCTGCGTGTTGCTACTGTGAGTAGCCACCCAGCCAATTCCACCTCATGATGGCGCCATGTGTGCGGAGCAGAAATGCTCCGTAGGACTTTGAGGGCTGCGACCTTCGGGAAGCAGATTGCAGGGTCTCTCATCTGAGGTGCTTCTGGTTGGATTTGAACCAACAACGTTTTGCATAGTAGTCAAGCACTTGACCATTTGTTCCCTACAAGGTTAATCAAAATTAATCAATATTGGGAGTAACTGAAAGCTGACAACTGCAGGCTCAAACAGATCTGGATTTCAGACATCAATCTTCCCCTTTGGACACAATATTTCATTTTTCGATTTTAATTTTCTCATCTGTTAAATGTGGCTAATAGTAGTAAATGCTTCATTGAAACGTATGTGTATATATGTGGTGTGTATGAAAATTAAATTAATTCATCCATGGAGCACTCAACACAGTTCCTCATACGTAGGGGGAGCTCATAAAATGTAAGTTATTATTATGACTAGCACAGTCCATTCTGGATAGATGCTTTTTTAGGGTTTCTTTTTTCCAGAGGTATCACTTTACAGATCTGAAGTCTGAAGCTCAACTTCATTAACTAACTTTGGCTCTTAAGCAATTTACCTAGCCTGTTCACGCCTGGCTTGCTCATCTACAACATGAACGGGATCATAGTATCCACTCAGGGTTATTATGAGAATTAAGTGAGTTAACGCATTTACAACAATGCTGGCCTTCTGATAACATTGCTACCGTTGAAGCTTACAAGATCCCACAAGATTCATGAGTTGTAAGGAGGTAGAAAGCATCCCACATATTTGAATATCAGGTTTACTAATTATGAAATTTCTCAAATTATTGCCAGAGGGATGGAAGGCTTAATAAAAGGATGAAGCATAGGATGAGGGGAAGACAATACAGGTGCATGAAATATGTACAAGATGATTAAAGGTATGAATACCTCTGTTTTAGATAAGTAGAAGTGGCTAGTGTTCTCTAAATTATCATGGTGGTGATAGTTTGGAAAATAGATATAATTGTGAAGGAATTCCCCCCAAAAGTCTGGCTAATATACAATTGCTCACATTATGAGATAGATTCCTAGCAAGTAACTACTCCTCTGCATAATCATGCTTCATGATTAAATGTTTTTAATTGCTAGGTAGGCGCTGAGTAATTTTTTTGTGAGATTTTTTTTTTCTTAAGGAGATGGTTTTTTGAAGTCTCTGTGTAACGTGGATCAAAACTGGATACTTGCAGATATAACAAGTAATGATCTTTTCTTAAGTATTGACAGCACGTTAAATCATAGGCCTAGAAGCCAGAAATATTGTGTTTCTTTTCCTGTATAGATACAATCCTATCATGTATGGTATTTGCTTTTGGTTTTTTATCTTGTGCTGATGGTCGAATCTCAGAGGGATAAAAGAGAGACTGTATGTATTTTGTCTCGACAAAAAAAAGAGGGATAACTCTGTGGTAGAATAATCAACTGTTTACGATGAAAAATGGCAGTATTTACTGGATGACAAAGGTCAGAAAGTTAGGAATAAAACAGGAATGGATAGCAGAAGAAGTAGGGACGGATGGATGAGTTGACGCAAAATGCATATGTATTATTGAATGAAAAACTGATGATTTGCTCTGTAAACATTCACCCAATTGACAATAATGATGTTCAAAAAAGGAGAGTCATAGAAGAGAACCTCACTCAGTGCCACTGAGTGATTCTGACTCATTGAGCCTGTAGGACAGAGTAGACTAGGACACTAGTGTCTCCTATTGTTTGCTTCCTGGCTTCAAGTACGTCGGAATTTCCAGAGTGGGTGATACTGCTCTCAAGGGGTTGTTAGAACAATCCAGGAAGCGGCTGGGGGTGGGTGTGGGCTGCCGGGAAAGCAGATACCTACATTTTAATCTTGGATTAGGGTCATACTATAAAAATTTCTAAGTGCCAGGTGGGCACTGAGTAATTTTTTTTCTGGGGCAGTTGGTTTGGGAACCTGTGAATTATATTAAAGCTAGACATGCACCTATCAGTTATGCTTAGGAATCACTGAGAAGCAGCAAGCTTGAAGCCATTTATCGGTGTGATCTCACTCACTGCCATCTGAGTCCAGGCTGACTCATGGTGACTCATAGTGAGCAGGGAGAATGGCCTCCATGAGTTTCTGAGACTGTAACTCTTTATGGGAGTGGAAAGCTTGTCTTTCTCTTGTGGAGCTGCTGGTGGTTTCGAACCACTGAGCTGGCAGTTAGCAGCCCAATGTGAAACCACTGTGCCACCAGGGCTCCTATCTTGGTGTCAGCGGTTTTATGCATGATAAAGCATTGTGACCGTTTTAAAAGAACCTTGATTCCATTCATTATTAAGTTTTGACCATTTATTTTACCTGAATAGATACATTCTTTTAAAACCAGATTTGAGAGAAGCATCAAAATGGAATGGTCTAGATTTAAAGAAGGAACAAGGTAGGTGCCAAATCAACTTTGCAGAAGTTTCATCTTTCAACGAGTGTGATTGGCCAAGACCTTTAAGACGCCAGATCTATCGAGCAAACATTAGCTTCTCTGTGCAGTGCTTTCCATGTGTGACCAGCTCCTAGGGAAAGTCGTTTGCTGCTAGCATCCCAACGTGCAACTCTCGTTTCCCCCAAGGTCTCCTCTGAGAGCGACTGGTCTTTCCAGAGCACGTTCGCATCGCATCGACAGCACCATCAGCAGGGTAACAGTGAGATGCTCAATCAGGCCGCGCTCCATTTCAAGCTCCCCCGCAGCAAGAGTCCGCTACAAATGTTCAAAGATACCATCTACCTTACTCAGGTAAGATGCTTTCATTCTGATGGTTTGTTTCACATTAGAAATCAAGCACATGTCACAGTTCCTGCATTGTGGAAAATATTCATTTCCCACGCTACTTACATACATATATTTTAAAAATCTTCTTCCAAATAGATATTGGACGGCATGTAAAGCTTGATAGAGTTAAATTTTGTGGATAGTCTCTTTCATAATAACGGGTAATGAAACCATAAAGCAAATTATGCATTAAATGTTCCCCAGCTCACAATTACTATAAATAATGATCAAACCAGTTGCCTTTACAGCTCATGCCCCCGTGTGTTACGCAGCAGAACTGCACTCCAAAGGGGTTTAGGCTATCTCTATCTTTTCTAAGTAAATTTCCAGGCCTGTCTTAAGAGGTGTTTCTGAGTGGATTTCAACCTCTCACTTTGTAAATTGGTAATCTAGTACTGATCTCCTTGCACCAACCAGGGACTCCAAAATTAAGAAACAGAACTG